GACACTGCTGAGATCGTGAGATTAGATTATTTGTTTTCGAGATCTTATTGAGCTACACATTGTGGCCAGCCACAATATTTGTGGGTGCCGAGCATATGAATGCCTTCATATTCTGTTCACATGAATTGGTTGGTAGTGATTAGCCAATGTTCTCTGAAATGAAGAGTTGACCGCCATTCTATACCCTGTTCTATGATGATGTGTAGCGTCGCAAATTGATCCGTACATGAGGCCATCCTGTTCCGGTTGTCATTTTGAATCCGGCGCATCCTTTAGCCTCTCCAGGAGGATGCGGCTTAATATTCTGCTTGGGGTGGACAGCAGCATGACTCCGGGCCAGTTCTTGCAAGGCTTAGGTCTCCTTTCTTTGGGAGTTTGACAAGGTAGCTCTTCTTCCAATCACCAGGTGCCTTTCCTTCCTTCCTTACAAACCTTCCGCAGTAGTGGTGTGAGCATGTCCGTTGTTGTCTCTGCGTCTGTTTTCAGTGCTTCTGGCGGGATTCCATCTGATCCTGCTGCTTTCCTGGATTTCAGCAACTGCATGGCATTCAGGACTTCTGCTTTTGTCAGAGGCCTTGAGTTTACTGTTGGTTTTGCGGCTGAAGGTGGTATTTCCGGGAGAGTGGTAGTTGGTGGTCGATTCAAGAGTTTTTTGAAGTGGTCAGTTAATTGGTTCCTTCGTTCCTCCTCTCTGGTAACTGGCTTTCCTTCACTATATTTCAGTGGTCTTTTCTGAGTTGGTCTCTTCCCAGATTTGATATAATGTTGTCAGGTCCCTCCTACCAGCAGACTGTTCTGCTTCACTAGCCAATGTGTCTAAGAAGTGTATCTTGTCCTTGTGTGCACTCTTCTTCACTTCTTTGTCCAGTGTAGTGTTTTATACGTTGCACTCGGTTTTTATTTTTGTTGTTCATCTCTGCACTGCACTGGTTCATCTTCTGCTTCACCATCTCCCTCTCTTTCCTCTATCAGCTTCCATGTGTCCACCGACACCCATTCCTTGTCTCTTTTCCTCTTCCTTCCTAGTACAGTTATGCAGATTTTTTTCCACATAGCTTTCAAACAGTTCCAATGTTCTTCCACGCCCAATCCTTCAGGGATGTCGTTCAGTTTCCCCCATTTTGTCCTGATGGCTGACGTGAAGACGTCCTCTGTAGTTTTGTCCTTCAGTTTCCGGGTGTTGAAATGTGGTCTATCACTAACTTCCTTGAGGGCTTTCAACTTGATTTGAAGGTCCCTTGCACTAGACAGTGAGTGGTGTGAACCTACACCGACTCCCTTTCTTGATCTGATCTTGTGTCCAGTAGGCGACGTCTCCTCTTCACTTTCTGGAGATTGAGATGGAGTCAATCTGATTTTAGTGTGTCCTGGTGTCTGATGAAATCAAACCCATGCCGCTGTCTTGTCAATATCCTTGTGTTTGTATACACTGTCTCCAATCACCAAATCGTTGGATGCGCAGAAATCTGCAAACAGTTCTCCGTTCTCATTCATCACTTCACCGAGAACTTCTCGACCCATGATGAGTACTCTTTCTGTGTTATCTGCTCCCACTTTGGCATTCATGTCGCCTATTAGAATTTTGATGTCGCCATCGCCTTTTGATTTGAATCTTGCTGTCATGATCCTAGAGGAGGAGATTAGTTCCCACTGCATGAGAGCCTTTGGATGATCTTGGAGACATCATGATAGCCACTCATTCAGTGCTCGTGGTTGTTGTCTGCGTGATCGGAGTAGATTATTGACCCTCAAGTTGACAGTTTGGAGAGTCTACTTCCATTCCATCTGCTTTCGCGGATTCCAAGCACTTCCTTGCCATATCTCCTCACCTCTTTTGCGATCTGAGTGGCCTTGCCAGCTAGGTTCATACATGATTTGGACATTTCATGTTCCCATCCTTACTTTCGCTTTCATCGAGAGAAGACACATTGGTTGACTGGCTTCCCGAAGGCTTCTATCACCAGCGTCATTTCATCTCTCCGATTCCAGCGAGGAATAAGTCTGTTCTCATTTTTTATATTTTCTTTGTACTTAGAAGTTTCTTTAGCGGTCGGATTGGTTTTACGGGGTAGGGTTGCCAGCCCTACGCCCAACCTTCCCTCTTTACCTGGGCTTGAGACCGGCTAGTAACTAGTGAACTAGGTGACCAGAGAGGTTCATGCTGAATGTTAACAAAAGGTAATCAGTGCAATTTTCATTGCCTCGCATTTATTATCTACAGAAATTGTTGAGAGATCTTAACAACTGATAATACGACTTCATCACCCACTTGTACACATCATGCGACTCAAAGGAACAGTCAGAAATCAAATGCACAAAATTTCACAAAAGCGCTATCGTATGATCTTTATTCCATATGCCGAAATTTTCAACCAACCTTCAGGTTACGAAACGAAGTAGCCTAACTATTAATCCGATTTATTTCCTATGATTGCTTCTACTTGAAAGGATTAATCCGTCATTCAGATGACGCAATGCATAGGTTTGCGGGTTATCAACAGTTTCGTCCAGTAAAATCATGGAAAATCTCAGAATTTATTTTCCCTAAGATACACCAAAACTCATGGAAAATAGGTGCACCAAGTAATCTATTCATTGAAAAATATGAAACGATCGTTCATCGTACGCAGTTTTTTGGCTCTTCTAGTGTTTGAGCAAATGTGAAGATGAATAATGGGTAGCAGATTCAGAAAGAACACCAGTCGCTGATTAGATTTTAAAAGCATACGTGTACACGATTACTTGATACAACAGACAACGGCGATTACAGGGGAAATAAGCATACATAACGTAGTAACAATACACTCACCCTTTCAAAATTGAAAAGGTGAAGACCGGAAAAGAAGAAATAGTAGTGTGTAAGTCACGCATATTTCATGTACAAGTCAATCAGATCAATTAAATTTCAGCGAAATGACTCAGTAGCAACGAAATATCACATTTCAAATACTATACTAATAAAGTTAAATCTATTTCTACCCAATTTTCTGCTAACAGGAAGCGTTATTTTAAAGACAACTTTTTTGTACGATAGGTTCTGTTGTAATGCCCCAGTTTTGTATAAAACATTGTTATTGATCTGAATATTTTAACGTGTCATTCCCATACCATTTTTACGGCATGACTGGTAGTCTACTTTCTGTCCCCATTGTAATGTAAATCGCTAATTGGTTAATCTTTACTCTTACTATGCAAATGCCTCAAACTGATGACAAGATCTTTTTTCATGTGTATACTTATTCACGTGTTTTGGATTGAATTATTATTATATTCTCGGAGTAAACTCTCCCATCATCCAGCTTCGGTCTTCTCTCTATTGGCCCCAGGGTTGCAGTCAGTGGCTCTTGCGTACTAAGTTAGCTGTCAAGTAAGCGTGCGTATTATATTCGTTTCGGAATATATATAACCATTCGCGTTCGAAAACATAACAGATTCTAACGTAGAAAGCAAAATATTACTGAGATAACTAACCTGAGACAAAGAAAGACAATAACTTATCGTAAACAAAATTCAACAGGTAACACAGTTGCAAACAACTAAATTTTGCCAGAAATGATTGACTGACTGACTGTCAAAAACAATGTAGAACTTCACACAAAAATACATCGGCTGAAGCTACCACACTACACAACAATATACAAAGGACAGGTGGGCAGAAAAAGAGTGATATCAAAGTACACAAAGTTGCATGAGAGAATGTATAATATGAATAAACGTTGGTATGAATATTCAAGCCTTGCAAGACGTCAAACAGTGCGTACCTCTGCACCACTGTGACCGATATTCAACCATCTCAATAACAGTTCTAAACCAATGATTCCTTTCGTCTCGGGAACTCCAACCACGCAGTCTACATCTCCCCAGACGGTCCAGGCCGACAGTCAGAGACTTCACCGACTATTGTCACGTCTCTTTCTGGCCACCCTGAATCACCTTCCAACCTAATCCAGCTTCCCCCAGCATTGCACATCGAGGTTAGCAGCGGATAGGCATGCGTAACACATATCCAAGCCACCTCAGTCACTGAAATTTCACAACCACATCAATCGACTTACCTTTCTTGACCAGTACTCCTCGCCTGACCTCTAAATTTCTCACACCACCACCACCAAACGCGAGCAACGCTACAAAGATGCCTATGATCAAAACCCTTAATCGCTTCATATCTTCTACTTTCAGTAGCCAATTCCCACAGCAGTACAACAGGAAAGAAGGAACTGCAGTGCAGTATAATCGTCCTTTGACAGTTAGTCAGTCGGATACCTCGCTAGTCGGGTGTCACAGATGACCCGAGTTGGCAAATGCCAAACGAGCCTTCTTCACTATCCGACCTGAGACTTCGTCAGCAACCACCTCGTTCAGGGCCCCCAAGTTTGTGAAGTGATTGATATATTGCACCACTTCACTCCCAATCATTAAACTGAGAATAGTTGCAAACCAGTCCTGAAATACCATCCAACGTGTGAAACATGCGAAGTGCATGACTGTTTCTCTGCCTGACCTCTGACTTTGTTGTTGCTTATCATCCTTCTGATCAAAAATCACAAACCACTTTGTCAGGGCAAGCTACTACATCACTCACGGAGATATATTGATAGCTCACTTCATACCGAGGTTAGTGCTGAAGATATCGTCTAGAGAGACAATGAAAGCTCTAAGATTAAAACATCCAGCTCAGCCAACACAACACAACCAAGATCATCCACCTGGGCTACGAATATTCTCCATCGCTGTCTTTATTTATATAATGACAAAATTCAAACTAGATACTCTTCTTCTGTGTTTCTGGGATATGACAGACCAGCACATAAACTTCATGTGTCACAAAGAATGCTACTAGGTATTGAAATCAGAATTTATGTTTCTTATAATTTATACCCACATACCATTTTATATCACAAAAGACATTTTACATTAGAGCTCATACACATATCCTCATATTATAATCTTTGTAAAAGATCAAACTGCTTATCTGTTTAGTAATAGAAGAAAGTTACATTTCAAAGATCTTCATCAGAAGAATTATTATGATGGTCATCCACATTTCTATTCTCTAATTCTGTTAGACGAATATCGATCCCTTCCAAAACATGTACCACAGAGGCAAAGAAAGCGTCTGATGCAGCACGTAAACGTTCGCATATAATGTAATCATTGTTTTCACTGGTTGTAGGTGTATCAGAAGGACCAGGAACATCTGATTCAGTAATAACACGCTGCATGGAACTTGATGGTAAGAATGATGACAGGAGTCCACTGAAGAAGCCACTGCCAGCCATATTTGCACGAATACGACGTCTAAGAGATTTGAAAACAAACTAGTTTCAGTATAAAACCTTTTAAAGGATATTTTTACTCTTAAATTGCTTTTAACCAAGATAGGTAACAGATATAACATTCCACAAGGACAGAAATCATTTAAAATTCAATCTTACGAATATTTCTGAATAATGTCAATTGTTTTCGAAGGCCAGAATGGTTGTTATTATTGTTATTCCACTTCAGTAAAATTCCACTAATACGACAAAGTGGTTAAACTTGGTATTATCCTGATGTCCAACGCTTAAAATAAGACACTTACCAAATAGGCTTTTACATTGCGAATTTCATAATCGAAGGAAAATTGGATGTTCAAGGTGCATCTCAACAACAGCTACTTCAGATAGTATGTAAGCATCCCAACATTCAGTCCATTAGAAACAATATAATCCCAATGAAACATATACTGATTCCAATTTCATAATCTACTAATTAATTGTCAAATACCTTAGGTGATGCGACAACGAATTTAGAAAGCAAAAAGACACAAAATTAAAAATAGTTCGTTTGTATAAATGATTAATATAAATGGATTCAGTAGTCAAATATATACAAATAATGATGCAGTGGGGCATACTACTCTAACATTTTCTGAGGTTGTTTAAATACTAAAACATAAGAAGACTGATACGTTGTTCAGTGACTCAACAAAGCAATCCCCTACAACTCATTGGCATGAAATAGTATAATTACGATATAGAAATATAGTAAGTATGCCGTAGTTTTCGTTTGCCTTCCATTCTTAATCAGTGGGACAGGGGTAATGAAAAACTCTTAAAACTTGTGTCTCATGAATGCCTCTCCTTTTCTTATCAATGCTGACTGAGTACGCGTTTTACTACACATTTTCATTTGAAAGATAAAACAGGCACATATGGCATAAATGTCATGAGAAATTACGTTACATATTTATTAATTAAAGTACAGAAGAACTACCTGTGAACAATATTTTTCTGTAGGCGCATACAAAATAAAGCGGTAAGTCGGTAATAACATGAACGCTGGCATATTAGACAAGCCTTTGGACATAAAAAAAAATGTGCATAGCCAATCAAAGAAAGGGATACGCTAGGTATATTATCAGCTTACCTTTCGTCTTCAGGATCATAAATATTAATAGAACCTTTGGGTGGGAAAGGATCGAATGTGTAAATAGGTGTGTTTGTCAAATTCTGAACAAAATGAAAAATATATAAGCACATGAAGAAAAATGAAACTTGCTACAAAATTAAGTTTCATAGCAGAAAATATTGAATAAACCACTTATAAAGCAGTCTGAAAAATGTTTATAAAGAGATAAAGCATCTGTTTTAGAAACAATGCAACGAGTTTACATACACACATTTGTGAAGTACTCATACACTGGTTTACAGAAAAGGTTGAATAGTACTCATGTAGACTAGTAGTTGGGAGAAAATGAGTTCTCTCAATAAAAGGATGCGACTGTACACAATAAGATATGGATGATTGCATAGCCTGTAGTTTCCTGTCACTAATTGAAACAAGTTGATTGGTCACTACTGACATATGGACTTCTGTGTGAATACCTCAAGAATGCCAGTAATCTCAGTTCAATAATAATGAAAGACAGTGGCTAGAAGCGGAATTAAAGACGTACATTTTGTGACTCAATAGTCTAGTGGATAACGCTCCATCGTTTTAAGTGTGGAGTGCTGGGTCTGAGTCTCAGCAGGCATAATTTCACCCACTGGGGGGGGAGGGGGGAGGGGACAGGTACACCTAACCGACGAGTCCCATGTAGTACGAAACACGCGTATTGCATTGACTACTATAACCACTATCCATCATAACCATTATATTCGATAAGCGATTAACATATTCGTGATGACATACATCAGAAAAGTGACGTATGTAAATATTCAGCTTCAAAAGAATAACGGCGTAAGATCTCATTTACTATTCCGTCGGCACCGTAACAACTAGCTATAAGTTTATATTCGATACTAACCATACTATTAAACTAACTGCATTGGTAGGCTTACTGCTGTATGTATAACATTTGTTCATATGCCACTAGATATATTAGTGTTTAAGGTAATTAAATACAAACAACGAAGTGGGTTTTCACTGCTCATATTCAGAAAGAGTAAGAGAGATAAACCGGTTTTCACAGCTTGCAGCTTACTAAAATGCGAAACTCCCTGGAGTAAGTACTTTCTGTGAACAAACAAATATGATTAGAATTACAAACAATTATTTGTAGGTTACTATTAGTTTCCATTACCATAGTTACCCGTCATTTGCAAACAAATTTAGGGCACCTCAATTCTAGAAGAGATAAGAATTTTGTACAGCTTCAAGCTCCCTAGTATATACACAGGACTTCTAACCAGTTGGTTAAGGATTCAAACCTTGAACAACTAACCAAACAGTGGGTCGCTAGGTAGTATGATTAGCTCCTACAAAATGGTTGTAGTTCGTATTCCAGTGTAAGTAAAAAGAAGTTAAATAAAGCGGCCGAATCGTCTATTGAGAAAATACAATTAATTATGGTAAAATTACTACATCGAACAATAATCTATTTATTTGTAAATCATCTCTTGCTCCGCACTTTATGTTTCCATCCACTATTGTATGTTATTTTTGCTTGATTTCTCACCAATCTATCGTTATCACTTTCGAAGTTGCTATATGTACCACTTATATCCACTCTTATAAGTAGTTCTCACTACATATGAACTTCAACGTTCCTGCTGATCTACACTTTATTCGTTACTGAAGAGCATTTTAGCAGTTTTAGGTCCTGATCTTTTATAAGCTGTTCGGACCAACAATATCTTTTCTCTAGATTAGTAAACACAAATTGATGAATATATCCAGGACTAATCGGATCTAATTAGAATATTTTAGATAAACATAAACGTGCAAACACCTGACAGGACAAATTGGTAAAATCAGTAATTCCAGAAACAGAAATACACAACACCGTTATAAATGCATAAATATCACTGTATTTTGTATACAGTATAGCTGACAATAATTATTCCTTCTTCCTGTTTTCGAGGAACCAAGCGACCATCTGGTAGTTGTCGTTAATGAATTGAAATCTATATTAAACATTCACGTTATATTATAAGCAAGCAACAGATAGCTTTGCAAAGGGCGAAGACAGTTAAATTTAAAATGTAGCCTACTACAAACATTGTTTACTGAAGCCATTTCCAGTCCACATTATAGTCATTATGTGATATCCTGTCATAGAAGTGTTTCTTCGATGACAGTAGAAGTGCAAGGTACATACTCCATATGGCAGTGAAACTTACTGCAACAAAACAGCATACACTCATGTTGACGTGACCTAACCACTCAGTATTCAATTATACCACAAATGCTAATGACCATGCATCACAGGAATACCCACCACAATACTGCAGTTTAACAATCCATAATAACAACTAAAGGTTCTGATTTTTACACCACAGCAGAAGTTAATGGTGAACTGCATAGATATTCAGTGATCTAAAAAACAAAAGTTCAACGCTCTCACATGAATGAATCAATTTGGATTATGCTTACCATTTAGTCTAGTCAACACATTTTCATCCATTTACTTTTCGAAATGTGAAATGACTACACCTAAACATACTACACAGCTTATGTAAGTAATATAAATGCATATCACAAATTAATAACAACATCGCTTACTCTAGGCAATATCAGTGGTGCTTCAGGAACTTCAGATAAAATCAAATGTCGTAGAATCTTTGGTGGGAATGCGGGATAAAGAGCCTTGCGTCTAGTAAGGAAACAAAACATTTAAATATGTACATGTAAGGGCATACTGAATAGATTTTCCGAGCACTTTACTGAGATTTCGTATGCAAGTATCTAGGATACCATAAATCAACGGCAAGAATCTCCTAGCCGAACCTATCTGTTGTTTGATCTGCATTACGGTTCGGACGTTGAAGATGACCAGCTTAGAATATCTGAGTCAGACAACACACTAATGGATAACTTTTTGAAAGCAACTGTTTAATAACTGAAAACAATACCAACACATAGGACAACTTAATTCATGTAAAAATAAAATACGATGACAACAATAACAAAAGCAACTGATTTCGTATTTTGCGATAACTTCGGTAAACAGCGATAAAGGTAAGCGTTGTAAAGCCATCATCGCAGTGTTATATCATTACGGATTGTGTTGAGGCTAAAAAACAATCTAGTCATTCAAAATGAAGCACGTAATTGTCTTGGGTGACCACAGCTACAGCCCCGTGATATGATTCAAAAGGCAGCGGACGTTATAGTTACCGGTGACCAAAGTGAATTCCGTACTACTCATTTGGTCAACATTTCATATGCACCAATGCTTTGGAATCAAAGTCTTCCAACTCTCCTAGACGATAGGAGACCATTCCTACGGGACTAAGTGAGCTAATGCTAACTCCTACTTTACAAAAACATTTGAGTGGCCACCATTATCTTGTGCATTTTAAAAGATCAGAAGAAGGTTGTCAAATCAAATGTATATCACCGTTCATTTTTAAAACTATGGTGACTGTTATCAAATGCTGAGTAGGAAACCTGAAGTGACAGTTGGTTCGTAAGGCCAGTAGTTTCCCAGAAATCAAATAGAATGAATAGAATTTTAGTTTCCTTAAACGAGTTATATACGTTGTACCGAACTTCCATAACTAGCCAGTAATCAGAAAGTCATGTCCTTCTGAATTTCATTAATATATTATTTTTGTACAAAGTATCTTCTGGTTTAATGAGGTGTACAATACACTTTTGATGGTGTTGTGTTTTCTGAACTGGATGGTTTAATCGTGAAACTTTCATTGTCATTCTAAACATCATCAGCATAAACTTTAGGAAGAATACACTTAAATATACTGATCTTAAGCAGAGGTCAGATAAGTGAATGCATATGTTTGTGACCACTTCCATTCAGTGGTATCTTGCAAACATAGAACAGGGCCAACATAAGTGCTGTAGACCTGCTGAGATAGTTTTCAAACTTGAGTATGATCAAGGAGTTTTGTTACCACATCACACACAAAATAAACCAGTAAACACTTAGTTTTTTTTTAGAGATGATCACTATAAATAAATCATGTGCTTCATATCAGCTAAATTTAACAACTGTATTTGCTTCGTTCATATTCTGGAAGGGTAAAAGTTTCAGAAAATAATATTTCCAGAATTCGTGCCAACCAACTGTAGACAATTCCAGTATGCATACATTGGTTGGTCACCGGAGAGCAACCAATCCTCATGTTGTCTAATGCTAAGTGCTGACCGAATTCTATCGATTACTTTGCAGTGTGGTCGACAAGCTGGGAGGCTCACCATAATGGTGTACTTTGATGGATGTTAGTTGGTTGGAAGTGATCGATAGGAAGCCCTGGACCTAGGTTTAATGTTTGTTGCCACGCGTCAGGACGGCGTATCTACAACCTCAAGGGAATCGATGTCCCTTGTGAGATTCAAACACGCGTCACTCAGTGTTGCAGTCAACCACAGTACCAATGAGCTAGTCGGGCCGCGACTGACCTGCTGTAGTTCTAGTATTAACTTCGTTTCCCCGAACCTTTAAAACTAAAAAACATAAGTAGCGAGTACTTTTTCTCTCGACCACGATTATGATTATCAATATTGTATGCTGCAGTCATAGTACGCATTCAGCAGATTAATTTCCTTGTGAAAAAGTCAAGTAGACTAAATAAGGTGCGCATTTATATTTGAATTTTATTCCTCTAAAAAGGTAGAGATACTCCCCAATGTCATAGTGATATACATTTCAGTGGACAACACTGAGCCGAAGCACCAAATGAATGATGAAATACACGTCGTGTTTATCATTTTCATAGCGAATACCAGAAAAAAGCAGAAAAGTAGTATTAAAGCTATATCATACTCATCAATAAGGACTCTACGAAAAAGTGAAAACAATTCATTGACTGCTAATTCCAACAGCTGATATTTTATCTCCGCCAAAACTCCAGCAGAGTACCCCATAAAATTGTTCATTGTGGTAACTGAAAGTGGACTAATTCCCATCTCATGTTACTTTCAACTGCATCTACCAATTTAAATGTACATCCCAAAGCACATACATTGGAAGAACAGAAGGGATGATTTTCATTCGCATTGCTGAGCACATCTCAAAGAATATAAGACTGAGGGATGTACATTTACTGAACAGTGTAATTGGATGTCATCTGAATGATACTGGACAGTATTGACAGCCTCAAATCATTCGAAGTAATCAATCGGCAACAGAACTCAAACCTATTGCGTTTTGCCGAAGCGATACTCATTGGGAGACTTGAATCAAATCTGTGTTTCGTGGTAATTTGGTTACAATGAAATGTATGCAAGCTTTTGTTGTCACTTAACCTTGCATATTTTGTCACGTCACTCTGCCTTGCATATTTCGTTGTTTCAAACTCTAATATTTTATTTCAACTCTGCTCAACTTACTCTTCAAGCTCTCGTAAAATCATGACATTTTGAAGTTACGCTATCTGTGATCGATATTTCCCATCCCCTTCAACCTTCTCGACCAAGAAGCTTCAACTTATAATCCTGTAAACAGTTAATCTTCCTCTCCCATCCCTAACCATCTCTCATTCTTTGATCATTTACATTGTCTATGTCACGGAATAATCCTATCAAAAACTTCTTGCTAACTTGCTAAAAGTATGTTTAATTCTTGTTATATGTATATCTTGAGATTATTTAGATTGTAAACAATTGAGAAGAATCCTTGAAATAGTTAAAAGTGAGTTCAAATAACCTTGCTACACTAGTTGTTTTTCCACTGTTCAACTTCGGCGGAGTAATTATGACTTTGAAAACAAGAGCATGTCACATTGAGATTATAACTTATGATAAGTAGCTGATTAGTACATCCTCGGGAAAACGTATCAGAACACCATGGACAGATCTTAAAAATGATAGCGCATGATAGGGAGTTTTATCCTCAGTCATAAAATAATAATAATAACACAGTATTTACCTTTTAGAATACTCAGCAAGACGTCCATCCGTAGTACAAGCATCGGAGATATGAATCTGTTTAGGTTCAACTAAAGCTAAAACAGACCCAATATTCTTTTCCAACCAGGGAAGAACGTTCGGTGAAGACCAAATACGTTGCATGCGAGCAACATAAAGGCTGAGTAGACAACCAAGACTTTCTGATTCACTTGTCAAAAAAAGTAGTAAAAAAATAAAACATTACACACTGGATAATATAAAATACCAAGAATAATAACGCTTTGTGTTTCACTAAGTTCAGGAAATATCAAAACCTCACCGGCACCTTACCAACATAAAAATTAAAGCAGAAACTGCCTGACTGTAGTACACATCCCACAGAATGTGTCCGTTAACATAGTAGCATAAATCGAGGTTTGGTGAGATGAATAAATGTCCCTTAACGCTTAACACTCTGAAAGCTTGAATTTTATCTGAGATGTAATAATAATAATATTGAAAGAAGCAAGAAGACAAGTATCCAGAAAGGAATGTATATTGTCAACAAGTGGAACAGTGGTCGTTAAATATGGCACACCTTGCGCTAAAACTGTCATTTGCAAGAGGTCCTCCATTTCCTCTTCTACTTCTCTCTTGATTTGCTCTTCATACACCTGCCTTGTCTCTTGCGTTTCTCTTGGCAGAATCCCTACACATTGCTGGTTACTCCCTATGATTTCTGCCACCCTCTCAACATATACTACTTATATCCATTCTTATCAGCAACGCCTACTATAATATCATCAATCCAAACAAATTTTGGCACAGTTTGGAATTTCCAGCATTCCAACATATATGTGAGTAGTTTAAAAAAATTTTCATTGTCCAATCGAGAAGCGTACTTCCTGCCCTACAGCTCAATGCTTCGCCTACACCAGCAAGTCCACGAGAGCTGACCATTGGGTCACCAGATACTCGTAAGGAGAATTCTAAAGATTCACTACTCTGGTCAGGTGAGATCAATTTAAAAACCACACACGGGTCCTGTACACGTGTCTGAGAGATACAGAAAACATCCATGGTTAGAGATGCCAGCGAACGATCCCAGCTGTCCGACTGGGCATAGAGTTTGGACGCTGAAAGTTCGAACATGAAATCGATGATGGGGTCTTAAGAGACTAGGAGTGAGGTTTTGATGGCTTTGATCGTTCGCAATGGTTTCAGAGAAGTTGGGGAAGGTGTAAGAGGCTTAGTACTATTATCAGGAGGTGAACGTAAAGGAGGGAACAGAGCTGAGGAAGACAGGTTATGTTTAATTTGGTCTTCTTTACTACTGGAAGCGTGCGGGTGGCTGATATTTACCGATTGCCTACACCGTGGAAGGCTAGTTCTTCTTAGGATACATGAAAAAGAAGGGATAGTGCGTGACTCTAGGGCCCAAAGGATATCTGATTGAGGCCGGTCACATATGGCTTACTGGCAAGTTTGAGATTTTGGTTTTCTGCTCTTGAATCTGACTTTGAATCTGTGTTGAAGGTATCGGCATGTCACGAGGGTTATAAGTATGCTATTTTGGGGGTCGACCATTTCTAACCCCCAATTTTCACTGAGAAGCTAGCATCAGTGTGGCACTGCTGGTCATCCAAGAGTAACATTTTGAAGCTGTCACATCCCATCCAGTCAGCAATACGATTACACCCTCAGACCCTATGATGATAACGTAGCAATTTAAGCTGTAATGGTTACTGCTTCCTGTCCAGTATTCAATAGACCTGGAGAGAACAGTCGTTCCACCAGCATAGCTCGTTAGGTCGTTGTGATATGCAAGCAGCTATCAGTCGGGTTTTCCCTGTCATGCATAAACGAGGTTCGGTAAAAATGCTCTTCGAAAGAGTGATAGAATTATGTTAAAAGGATAAACTGGAAGAGGAACTATTTAGACTTTTAAGAAGAACGAATATCCGATGAAGTTTATTTTAAAGTAAAGAAGAGAACATACTGAAAAACCTAAACACCTGGATGTTGAGAAGAAACTTGTTTTATTCGTCTGACATTCAAGGGAGGTGAGACGTCAGAAAGAATAGATAGAAGGATACAATCTATATTTATAAGAAGCTTCCCATCTGCTAGATTGATATTAGCTTATGGTAGTTTGGGCTCACTGAGCCAATTCATAGAAGATAAACATACCTCACACGTCACCTCCAACAATATTTAACTAATTCAAATATGACTTTGGAAGCAATTAGATAGGAAGGAGTGAAATAACGACATCTACTGGATTTTATGACCATGTCTGAGTGGAAGCAAAGTTCTTACAACTGCAACAGCCAGATACCAAATGAAAACTGGACACCGAACAGATCTTTCACACATACCTTGAATATTTCGACTTCAGATGGACAATAAGGGTTGAAATATAATAGGTGAATTCATGGAAACGTAGCCAAACTAAAGCTACACCTATTGGTACCAGTCTGTCTATCATCAGTCGACCATTACCATGTAGGAAAAAGTGTTAAACAATATAAAACTAGAATTTGATGCACCTAATGTTACACTATTTTAAATTATTAAGTAGACGGTTACCTTTCGCCATTTCAGTATTTTTTTTGAGCATTCTAATACCACTGAAAGTAAACATGCTTTAAACTGGAACAGTTAATTAATTTAAAGCTAAAGACAAAACATCTGACTGCAAAACTTATCACTACATCAGTCACCGCTTGGTGACCGATTTGCGTGCGTACTTTAATTCAATAGATATCCAAACCAAGTTGGGATTTAATGCTTTGAAAAATTTTGGGCGTTGGGTAAATTATATTCATTAGGAGAAGTTAATACCAAAATAATGAATGCCTTAACCCTACCCGGACTCATTTCTAACCTGAATAAATGAAATGAAAAGTCTTTGACTCTAGCGCAAAATGAGATAAAGTTGAATGTTCGACGAAATAAGTTCCCCTCAGATTGCATATATGTTTCACTGATGTTAAGAAAAACAGGAAAAAGGTCGAATATGACTTGATGAATAACATGTAACACTACATAAACGTACGTTAATAGAACTTCTTTCCCAAAAAGAACCGACTTGTCAAGGTTTGTAGTACCTCCAATGCTGGTATGTTTCAGTAAACGTGTTACAAATCCGGGAAACATGATCAGAGCATCTTGCAGCTAGAAGTTAAAATGGCGTGCAATTAATTATCAGGTATCGCATCGAATAGCAAAAGCAAGTCGTGTTGCGCTACGTCAAACTGTTTTTAAAGCAACAAGAAATATGAGAGAAACGCTAAAATTTGGAATACATTTCAGAGACTCGATCCACACTTGACAACTAGAAAGATAGTAACGAATACACAGATAACATCATCGAGTAGGATTACATAAAAGCATAAATGGGTTTCACTGCCTAAAATTAAGTTTCAGACAATACCTGGGACAAAGTTAACTACTGTACTAAAAACGATGGAGCTAACTCTTAATGCTTTTGTCAAATGAAATGAATCAAAAGTAACTCACTGATATAAATAGTTTTACGATTTTAATAAAAATGACTATACACCACAAACAAGTGTCGGCTACTATCAGATACGCTTACAAAGTGCACAGTGGTACGGCAGGTTTATTATTGTACGCAACGCTACCTATCGTCCTTAGTATAAGTGAAGCCCTAGATGCTTCCTTTTACAGCAAAGTAAGTGACCGAGAGACTTGCGACCTGTGGATATGATCTTCAAAAGTATAAGAGAAGTACACTGTCGAAATTCTTGGTCTCGAGGTCCCATAAAGCAGTAACCCAGCAACCATAGGCCTGATGTCACTGAATGGTATATAAACTACCTTTAATTAATTTGTCCACAGAGTCACCAAATAGATACTATGGATTATTTATTAGTAGTTGAAATAAATGTCAGCATTCTCTATTATAGGTTAATTTTACACTTAATCCCAAATTTTAACAAATTTAAATAAATTTGGGTAACTAATGTACTAAATATGTTAGAAATTACCAGCCGAAAAAATGATCTACAAGCAAACGTATAATAATCGACATAAGGCTTATTGTTGAAAATTTAATGACATGACTCATCATCATTCTTGATTTTAGTACATGATTTCGATTAGGGTAGTCTTCAGAATAAAAATAACTATCATTTGTTAAGCTAAACACTGACTAGCTTAGTCTTGCACTAAAACAGAACGGGTTTCTCAAACAAAACAGCTAAACGAGTGCTTAAAATACCTTGACATGCACTAATGACCACATGTAAACTGTAGAAGATTGTAGATTATAACTCTACGCGAAATATCCATACTGTGCAAATTATACAGTAAATCAAAAGGGCACCCTCTAGTACCTAAAATGTGCACATAATATTCACACACATACATACTCCCATCAATATAGAACCTTACACACAAGTAGCCACACTTCGCTGTAGTATACAAAGAACAAGTGGATAGAAATAGACTGACATCATAGTAGACAAGTAGCCCGTTCGCGCTGATACAACTCCCCAAACAAGTGAAGTGGTCAACACATTCCACTACCTACCCTAAAACTGTGAGTAGTTGCAAACCAGTCCTGAAGCATTGTTTCACGTGTGACGGGTGCGAAACGCATGCCAAACATATTCAGATTTCTGCTCAAAGCGTTCAAAAGACAGCACTCTATCGATATTTTAACATAATAGGACGGTATCATCTGCACACTCCAAGTCAACCAGACGCCCTCCAGGTAGTAAATCAATTCTTAGGAAGCCACAGGTATCTAAGGTTATGTCTAACAGTACATCTACGATTAAATTAAACGGGGATGACAAAAGCGGGCATCCCTGCCGAACACCACTGGTTGTCATCAATTCAGATGATAAGCGTTATATACCTGCTGCGCACTCACAGTCAGACAATACATAAACACCTCCCGGCCGATGGTGTTAAATGTCGCCAATGCAGTACTCAGCAACTCTCCAGCAAAACATCGCCAAAAGTACATCAGTTGACCAGAAGGAAATGTGTGTGCTGTTACCACTACTACTACACTGAAAAGGAGCAATGATATGTTGATTTCAATTGCATAAAAAGTAATTTTAAAAGATCGAGTAAAATAACATGCATGAATTTATTAGTATTGATCATATGGACAGCAACCATTTTCCGCCAGTACAATAATGGATAACATATCAAGATACGACCTAATACAAAGACACGAGTGTGGTATTCATTGATATAGGATCAAAATGAAATAGCAAAAATCAATTAGTATAGTTATTATGTGAAATAACTAATAAAATGGGAATCAGTAATGCAGACTTACAGATTCATCTGCACTCATTTTATTTTCATCAGACTTCTCTAGATTTTCACCAGACAACTTACGGGCCAATGGTACTGACAGACCGAAATTAGGAAGTAAGTACAAATTGCGCGACCCCTTAATTTATAAGAAATATTTGAAACAGTACTCGTCTTTCCAACTGTAGATACTGAGTTAAGATTATAAAATCATTCAAATAAAGAAATGCATCAGTATGCATTTGAGAGTTAATAAATTTGATGTAATCTGAATCACAAAAGAGCGTGGGGAAATTAACAGGGTCACTGTAGTATCTTAATTGAAAAATTTCGGGAAAGTACATCTCAATCTCATAATGCCCATCAGCTATAAAATGGTAGGTTGTAAGTAAAACTAATGACATGTTTTGATATAACTCAATACACATTGTTTACATTTATGTCACAAAATGAAAATGTCACAACTTCCCACAAAGTAGGTAAGTATATGTGAATACGATGACCGAGTTTGCTAGTTCATATGACTAGTTTTTTGAAAGAGTAGTTTGAAAGTCAACATCAATTGTACATTTTTGCCAGTCTAAACTACTTAAACCGCTAGATATCCCAATAGTTATTCTTTGGTTACTACAACACCTAGTATAGGAGTAGTAAATAAACGACTAATTAAATCTATCTCAAACGCTCTAAGATGAAGTAACATTGCTGAAAAATACTTCTCTTTTGTAATTACATTTATATTGTCTTTTCAATACTATACTTCTTATCAACAAAATTTTCTAACGTTCCACTTATATCTTGTGTACGTGCATCAAGGTGCAAACATTAAGTGTAACAGATTTAATTTCATATCTTCAGAGTAATTGAAAGGCAGTTCGGTTATATATATATATATATATATATATATATATATATATATATATATATATATATATATATATATATATATACCGTTTGTGCCTTGATGTATGTACACAAGGTACGATTAGAACGTTAGAGAATTTTGTTATTAATAAGTATAGTATCGAAAAGACTTAATTCATGACCCAAATGTACTGTTCCCACGTGCCTGCCCTCATATCATACACTAACTAAATCCGAGTTTGACAGTTTCGGAAATGGCGTAAACATAAAAATTTGACAGTCACAATAGCTGATGTTGTAGTAGACAGTGTTATGGACGGATGAAACTGACTAGGAAGGAACACCATGAGTCTTGTTCACATCATGTATGCGTTGATCGTGAGTCCACTTAGTTGCTACCTGAACTTCACTGCACATAGTTTATGCCATAACTCATTTTTGCTTTTGACATATCAATTTTTGATCTCCTGAACAAAAATGTCTTATGAAACTGTCCGTTGTAAAGAAAGGCGATGATGATAATAATAATAATGACGACGACGATGAGGACACGTTCTTTCTAGAATAACTCGAACCTACAGTAGACGGACGATATCATCATGTTAAGAAATGAAAACAGGCTATACAAATAGTATGAAATCAATTAGTAGTGATGCCCTTTGCTAGGTTTACGATCAAAGAATGTGCTACGCATGTCTTCCTAGCGGTTCTCACACCGCTAACTGCTCGTCAGCTATCGAACTGCTTAAAAACGTAGACGTGACAAGTGTATGACGTGACATAGTCGGATAGACGGTAGTTGTGTTTGGTTAGCATCCGTGGATTTCTCACAACTCCCTAAACGGGGTCCAAGACATCGTGCAAATTATAAGCTTGAGACAGTCACATATATGAGTCAAAATCAAAACAGGTGTGATTATGTTGCAGTTTTCTTGCTTCTTCTATTACTGAAAAGCAAAACAAAAGTAATGGTTGTCTATTTGAAAGCACCTTTGAAACTTCTTTAATGACCAATTTGTCTTCGCTTTAATTCTGTCTTCCATTCCGTCCTCACAATGATGCTTCATTATTATGTATAGGGCATCTGTTGGTCCCCATGATGTGTATATATATAATCATAACTGGGAAAAATATTCAGAAGTGAAACACTTTAAACAAAAGAAACTTGTCACTGAATTACTTACATTTAGGCTGTTGTACAGACCAATTAAGAAATCATACTGCCCCGAGTATATTGCATACTGATCTATCATCAGCAAAACTGTTAAGGGGTCGTCTTCATAATCAAGGCTAAAATATAAAGTTCCAGATTGAAATAAATTCATGTTAGGTGGTAGTTTTTGTGCTATAAACTTACAAAAATTAATATCTCTTCCTAAGCTAAAAAAACTCAATGTTTTGAAACTGTAGAAGATATTGCTTAGAGTCTATCTCAATGGTGCATATGCATATGCACTTTAATCTGCTATACCGAACTTCCTGATTTTCCTTCCATCCAGTTCACTTTCTATGTCTTCCTACCACTGACTACTTCTTTTCTTACTTCTCTATCGTCCACTTTGAAACTTCTACCTTAATGTGCTAATATGAGCTACAGTAATAGTGTAGTGGGCGTTGCTGATAAGAATGGATATAAGTAGTATATGCTGACAAGGTGGCAGAAATCATAGAGAATTACCATCAATGAGTAAGGATTCTGTCAAGAGAAACGCAAGAGACAAGGCAGGTGTATGAAGAGCAAATCAAGAGAGAAGTAGAAGAGGAAATGAAGCACATTTTGCAAATGACTGTCTTAGTGCAAGATGTACCATATTCAATGACTACTGTACATGTTAGTAGTTAACACCTCTTCCTTCGTCTCTGTCTTCTCGTTTCCTTCAATAGAACCGTTAGCCAACAGTGTCTGACCCATACTGATCCTGGTTAACTGACTATTATATCATGAAAATCGTAGGATGAAAGCAAAATATGTATCTACAACAACAGTTAAAAAACATGAGTTGGAAGGGAATATTCTACTCATATCTTGAAACCTCAAAAAGCCAATTCACCATAATAGAATATAAGCACAATGATAACAGCATAGTTTTTCCCTACTTTTGCCTTCTAATCATTGTGTTGATATGAAGTATGAAACCCTGAACTGACAACTTCATCTATCCAATCCTACGTTTCTCAATTAGACAAAAAATTGTGGAACTAAGGATGTATTGCACTGAAAGAAGCGAAAGACAGGTATCCAGAAAAGAATGTATATTGTCAACAAGTGGAACAGTAGTCGTAAAATGTGGTACGCCTTGCTCTTAACTGTCATTTGCAAGAGGTCCTCCATTTCCTCTTCTACTTCTCTCTTGATTCGCTCTTCATACACCTGCCTTGTCTCTTGCGTTGCTCTTGACAGAATCCCTACCCACTGATGGTTATTCCCTATGATTTCTGCTACCCTCCCAACATATACTGCTTATATCCATTCTAATCAGCAACACCCACCACACTCGTCCCCCCCCCCTCAAAATTTCAGGCTTCCAACCGTGTTCATCATCTTGGTGCTGTCTTCTCTTGGTTTTCACTCGCTGTTTAGTCTTTTTTCCACTGCTTCCATTTTTGAAGTAGGCTGGCGTTTACTCTTTTCTCTTTGTTCCCTTGTTTGGTGGCATAAATTGAACCGCGTCTCTCGGTAATAATGTATGGTCCTTCCCACTTCGGAAGTAGTTTCCTTCTACCATACTCACCTCCTGACGTATATCCTCGTTCTTTACATTTCATCTGATCTCCGACCTCAAAAGGGTTTCCATATACTTCCTTTTCTCTGCTCAAATTTTTCGGCATCAGCTTTCTGTTACCATTCCACATTTCTGATTGCCTGTTTCCGCTCATTTCTTAATCTAGTCGTGTCCCACGGCTGTTGTTGGAGCCAGGTCTTACTATGTATTGGGAGTCGTGGTTTCCTGCCATACATTAACTGGAACGCCGACGTCTTGCTTGTTCCTTGTACCGAGGCACGATGAGCTAATAATACTAATGTAGTTCCGTCTCCCCATTTCCCTCCTTTAGAAGTCAACCACTCCATAAGTGTACGGTTATTCCGTTCTGTCAAACTGTTCATCCGCGGGTGCTACGGCGTCGTTCTTATCTTCTTGATATATCAAGCTGCTCAAAACAGGATTTGAATTCCCCACTCTCAAAACAAGGACCTTGGTCGGTCAATATCATTTCCGACACACCGTGATCTGCAACAATATGCCACATCACCCCTGCGGTCACTGTCTTCGCGCACTGATCAGGAATTGCGACAGCGTCTACCCATCGTGTAGCTTGCTCCGTCATCACCAACAGGTATCGAATGCGACTAGAAGTCTGCGGAAATGGTCCCACTACGTCCACCGACCACAGGTCACCAACTGACTCCACTGGAATCGACTGAAGCGGTGGTCGTACATACCCATCACCTTTCATCAATTGACAATGAGGAAAACCCAGCACGTATTTGGCAACATCCTCTTTCATATCTGGCCAGTATGTACTTTGTCTGAGAAGGTCGGTTGTCCGTGAGACACCTGTTTGAGCTAACTGGTGGTATTTTTGTATCATTTCGTCGCGTAGACATTTCGGAATTACTGCCAACCAGCTCCCGTCGTTTTTCCTTGCCACGTCAGCATTCCTTAAGTATTCATCCGTAGGCGTTCTTTCTGCGTCAACAACTTTCTCAACTCTTTATCTCCCACAGACGTTTGTGTCTCTGTCCCTTCGGTTATGGCTTTGATCACTGCATTCAGAGTAGGGTCCGGCTTCTGAAGGCGAATAAGTCTTAATGGGTCCCGTTCCACTGAATGTACACCGTATGCGATCATTTTCTTCGTCTGATCTTGATAGGAGATCTGCCAACCAGTTTTCTTTCCCTGTCACATGGCCGATTGTAAAATCGTACTCTTGCAGTCTTAACATCCAGCGTGATAGTTTCCCTCTGGGGTCTCTCGCTGCCTTAAGCCACTGTAGAGGCTTGTCGTCAGTTTCAATATGGAATCGTTGACTGGGAAGTACGATCTTCATTTCTCAAGTACCCAAACTATCGCCAGACATTCATTCCTCTTCAACTTTGAGATATTTCTGTTCTGCAGGTGTCAGGACACGGCTGGCATGCTCCACTGCCCCTTCAGTCTGTCTCAGACCTGCGTCTATTCGGTGGATACGATGAATGGCTTCTCAGGTATTGGCAGTTTAAATTCATCTCCTGGTAACTTAGGAGTTCCTTCATGTGATCAAATGTTTTCGGCGCCTCCTCCGTCCACAAACATTTCGGGTTGCCCAGTAGCTTATATAAAGATGCTGCTATCTCACTGAAATTTTTGAAGAACCGACTGCAGAATGCTGCTCTACCCAAGAACTGTCGTAGCTTCCTCTTGGAATTTAGCACCGGAATGGTTTTAACCGTCAAAATCTTCTCAGGTAATGGTTTTATTTCACCGTTTCCAAACTTATGTCCTAGCAATGTAACACTCTTCTTGGCTACCTCAGATTTTGTCTTATTGATGCGAAGTCCAAACTCGTCAGTGCGTCTTAAAACAGCTTCCAGCTGTTCCAGATGCTCTGCTTCCGTCCGACTGTACACCATCAGGTCATCACCATACACCTCTACGTTCTCTAAATTAGTCAGCAACAACATCATCAATCGTCTAAATATAAATGGCGCGCCTGCCAGACCAAATGGCATTCGTTTGAATTGGTATTGCTCCTTTTATTGGTAGCTGCCAGTAGCCTGAGCGGAGGTCCAGAAGTGTAAATACTTTCGCATTCTGCAAACGATCCAGTGTTTCCGCTACCGTAGGCATGGCACACTGCTCCAGTTGAGTTATGCTATTTAATTCTCGGTAATCAACGCAGAATCCATATTCTCCATTTGACTTTCTCACTAAAAGTACTGGCGAACTGTATGGACTGTCAGCCTCTTCAACAATACCTTGATCTAGCATTTCCTGAACCTGGTACCCAACTTCTTCTTTAAAGTGACGTGGTATGCACCGTGTGATGAATGTTGTCGTTACCTGACTGGTCACTGGGATTTCACGCTGAACCTTGTCACAGTATCCGTAGGGGCCTCCATCTCCTATGAACAGTCTGTCGTATTTCTTAACCAACCTCATGATGTTTGGCGCTTCTGGGTGTGGTGCACTTGATACCTTAGTCTCTGCTACTCGCTGTTTTCCTGCGTGGTGAACGACCCGTACTTCGTCGCCACTATTCCTGTTCTCGTGTTAATAATTGCGTCCACTTCTCTCAGAAAATCAGCACCTAGGATTGGCCGTTGTAGACTGTGGTCATAAAGAATTGAAATCTAATTTTCCGACTTCCGATCTCGACAACGCAATCTGATAAGCCTGTGATTTCTAATGCACGTCGCCCAACCGTGTGGACCGTTAGCACACATGGTCTTATGTTCTGAGACTGACTCCTATCTATTAGCGAGACTGCCGCCCCCATATCTATCAGACGCATGATCTCCCGGTCATTTATTCACATTCTAGCATAAACAGCACCTCAATCTATGGCTCCTACAATATCTAGTCTAGTTGGAAAAACAGAATTCATATCGTTCAAAACGTTTTCATTTTCCCCTATCCGGACAAATTCTTCGCCAGTGTCCGGGTTTTCCGCATACACAGCATTCACCCTGTCTGTCGACATTCATTCGAAGCGCAGCCACTTCCTCCTAAAAGTTATCGATTTGTTTTTTCCAGTGATTTGCCTCTGGTGACTCCACTCCAGCTACTCATGTACCCATCAACTGTCTGGTCACCTAGGACATCTCACTAATATACAGGGGTTGGGCTGCTTTCACTGGTCGTAGTTGCTGGACGATGGCATTAGGGACACCTTCGGTGAACTAGGCAGCCAGCAGCTGCTCCTGAGACTCCTCATCTAACGTGGGAAGTGCTCGTCGAAGTAGTTTAGTCAACTCCGCTGCCAATACCAGCGGGTCTCCGTCTATTCCAACTTTCGCGCTCCGGAACTTCTGCATCGCCAGCTCCCTGTCCACCAGGCTGTCAAACTCCGCTTCCAGTCTTTTAACCATTCTCTGCCAAGTCTACTTCCTCTCTCCACGTTCCACGCCGTCATACGCTGCTTTCGCTCTACACCTCAGCAACGTGCCAAGTACCACCACCTTCGCTCCTGGATCCCGACACCTACCAGCTCCACGGCCGACTCGAAGTCCCTGAGAAAGACCTTGATGTTTCTATCCTTGAACTTTGCAGGCCACGAAATCTTCATCACGTCCAGAAACAGCAACACCA